TCAAGTAAGTTTGGATTGTTATGATGTATATATATATTTTGCTATTAAAACAGGGACGCCAACGACCCATCTGCTAAATTCTACAGACCCATGTTCTTGTAATGATTCCTGAAAACACAATAATGTTAATCTCATAATGTTCTCTTGAATGATCTGTTATCTTTGTTAGCTGCATCTTGTCTGACATTAATACATCCATAATATGATAATTCTATCATCAAAAACACAACATCTGTTTTTAATAAAAACATTTTTTCACATTTTTTGTAATGAGAGGAATTGCAGATTTCGATAAAAGGAAAAAATAGAGATGCTATATTAAGATGTAAGAATGTTTTTCATCTGCAGTAGATTAACAGAGACTCTGTCCAAGTGAATAGTTAGTTATTGCTGATGGCCTGTCAGCTACACCCTACACACTTCTGTCAAGTGTAACAACAGAGTGGGACTCCTGGATGGAGGAGGACCTGTGTGTCCCATATATGTTTCAAGCCTACATCTATGCTATAGCTACCACATTACGACCTTGTGACCAGAAACAACGGAAACAAATTCCAGATTGCATATCTCAAAGAAGCCATTTTGTAAAAGTCAAAAGTACAAATGTACCAACATTCCCTGTAAAGATTGGGTACCTCAATGGTCTTGTCACAGGGGCGTAGAAACGGTTTTCACAGTGGGGGCAGCTAATTTATGAGAAGTATTGAAAATCAAAATGAAATTGTAGTTATGGTAAGGTAGATATGGTTTCGTCTTGAAAAGGCCCCCCCTGTTTCTACGCCCCTATGTCAACAGTTTACTGAAACTAACATGTACAATATTTAGTTTCTATTTGAAACGTGTGTACAGATACTGGAAACTTGATGCCCAGTTCCTCTCATCCAACACTGCTCCCTCCAGTGATTTCATGCTGAGACCGTCATCGTTCAGGGACTGTAAGGAGGTCTACCTGGAAGCTGACCTAGGGGAGACACACATGTACTTACAGGTACACAGAAAATACCTACACAATAAATCATTTATACCTATAACACAATGATTTCATTGGTAAAGTGGAAGCTAATTCATTTGATGAATTCCATATTCTTTAAATCAGTTGTCGTTGTTCCTGTTCGTAAAGCTAAGAAATTGCAGAGAGCGACAAAAGACTATCCTGCTAAAGCCAGGTAGTGGAGTAGAGGTAGGTTCATAAGTAATGACAGCCTTATGACGTCATAGCAGTCTCCTGGGGATGTATCATCTAGTCTTATATCAATACATGTTTGTTTGTTGTTTAGTGCCTCACCCAGCAATATTCCAGCTGTCAGCAGAATATCAATACACAATGTTTAAGAAAGATTCAATTCCAATTTCATTCCAGTGTCTACAAGATTTCTTTGAAATCATCTTCGTACAACAGGTACAGCTGCAGCTCCAGCTGATCGTATAGACACAGGTGGAGGACATGCAATAACAGGAACGGTAACATCAATTCCCGTTTTGTTTAACATGCATGGTAACATCAATGAACATGTTAACATCAATGAACATGTTGACTTTAATAAACATGTACCATTCATATCAAATAACCCATACCAATAATGTCAAGTAACATGCACCCCTAATATCCATTAACATGCTAACATCAATTAGCATGTACCATGCTAACATCAATTAACATGCTAACATCAATTAACATGTGCCATTAACATCAATTAACATGCTAATATCAATTAACATGTGCCATTAACATCAATTGACATTAATTCACATGCACCATTTATATCAATTAACATGATAATATCAATTAACTGTACCATCAACATCAATTAACATGTACCATCAACATCAATTAACATGCTAACATCCATCAATATGTACTGTTAACATCAATTTACATGCTAAGTTCCATTAACATGGACCTGTACCAATTGTTAACATCAATTAGCATGTAGCATTAACATCAATTAGCATGTAGCATTAACATCAATTAACATGTACCATTAACATCAATTAATATGGACCATCAAATAACATACTAATAATCCCCCCAATTGCACCCCCTAAAAAGTGTAAAAGTATAGGATCTAGACATATCTTACAAGATGGGAAGTGCTACTCCAGCTCAATGCTACTCTCCAGCTGTACAATGGGAAGTGCTACTCTCCAGCTGTACAATGATGGGAAGTGCTACTCTCCAGCTGTACAATGATGGGAAGTGCTACTCTCCAGCTGTACAATGATGGGAAGTGCTACTCTCCAGCTGTACAATGATGGGAAGTGCTACTCTCCAGCTGTACAATGATGGGAAGTGCTACTCTCCAGCTGTACAATGATGGGAAGTGCTACTCTCCAGCTGTACAATGATGGGAAGTAAGCTGCTACTCTCCAGCTGTACAATGATGGGAAGTGCTACTCTCCAGCTGTACAATGATGGAAGTGCTACTCCAGCTGTACAATGATGGAAGTGCTACTCTCCAGCTGTACAATGATGGGAAGTGCTACTCTCCAGCTGTACAATGATGGGAAGTGCTACTCTCCAGCTGTACAATGATGGGAAGTGCTACTCTCCAGCTGTACAATGATGGGAAGTGCTACTCTCCAGCTGTACAATGATGGGAAGTGCTACTCTCCAGCTGTACAATGATGGGAAGTGCTACTCTCCAGCTGTACAATGATGGGAAGTGCTACTCTCCAGCTGTACAATGATGGGAAGTGCTACTCTCCAGCTGTACAATGATGGGAAGTGCTACTCTCCAGCTGTACAATGATGGGAAGTGCTACTCTCCAGCTGTACAATGATGGGAAGTGCTACTCTCCAGCTGTACAATGATGGGAAGTGCTACTCTCCAGCTGTACAATGCCAAAAAGCCAAGACTTTCAAACAGTGGAACATGATCATTACTATAAAACTGTACTATAGGAAGTAACTCTACAAATTGAAACAGTTTTACTCTATCAGTTTGAGAAGTGGACCGTAAATGATGATGCTCTGCTTAAAAGCAGTCAATGTTACATGAGTGAGTGAGTGAGTGAGTGAGTTTAGTTTTATGCCGCTTTTAGCAATATTCCAGCAATATCACAGCAGGGGACACCAGAAATGGGCTTCAAACATTGTACCCATGTGGGGAATTGAACCCGGGTCTTTGGCGTGACGAGCGAACACCTTAACCACTAGGCTAGCCCACCGCCCCCCTCCAATGTGACATGATGTTTAACAAGTAGCATCTTCTGCCCAACAACCAGCAGCACCCTCAGGTCACCCCGAGAACCAATGCAGTGGTAAAGTCCGAGAACCCCTACAGTGATACAACACGTACGTTACCCGGGACTAGATATGGGATATTCTGCAACAACCATTGAACTTTTCTTGTTTTGCCGGATTTCCATTTCATTTTGAGAAATATTACTGGTATCGAGTACCTATATTGTTCTCTCCATAGCTTACAAAACCTGATGACCCACTTCCTGTATATATCAACATGGCTTACCTAATCCTTCAATTTCTGGGTTTCTCTTGATACACAACATCTAAGCTCCCTTCTCCAAAATGTGGAGACTAGAAAATTGTCTGTAGTCATCAATACAGTAGCCAAAACTACTCTCGGGTTGGGTTCTAACAACACCCACAATGTCTCACTAAAGTGTTACAAAGTTCAAACCTTCACACGGCAGGAACTATGAAACAGTCACTGACAAAGAAATCATGCAAGGAAATGTAAGTTAGACTGAATTTCGTCCAATCAACAGATTACACTATGCCACTGAAAATATAAGTCTGTGTTTGCCCAAACAAACAGTAAGTTCCAGTGACTTGAGATGATATGAAAACTTGTCTCCTGTCTGCTGAATATACACAAGCGCAATCCAAGAAAATGACAATTTTGTCCCTCTCCTAGTATCATCACTGTCACCTGAGTGGAGGCAGCAAGTACAAGAATCTTGACACTTCACTTCCAATCCAAGTGAAGTGATGTGTATATTGTATCTATGCAATGCCAGGGAGCTTAGGAGATACTGACAGCAAGAATTGTCTCCCTTTATTCAGAGTTGTCCTTCCTGGTGCACAGCACATTTGTTGCCCTCCTCCTACACTTTGATCTGCTCATGTTTATATACCTGAGTAAGTCTTTACTGTCAATTGACAAAAGGTTTATGATTGACATACTTTTCCAAAATGGCTGTTTTTGATCAGACTGAATCGATATTACATACTAACATAAAAAGCATCTATCTTCTAACTTACATTCTCATTATATTAATTATATGCTTGTTAAAAAGAAATAGAAATCGACAAAGCAAAATAACTTAGCTGGGACAAGAGTATTCATTTGTTCGTAAACGTAACAGTAAGATGGTTGCAAACTAGGCTGTAGCCTGCTGGTATAGTTGTGAGCACTCTGTTACAGGGGACAATGAAAGTATACAGGGCTCGATGTGAGGAGTTCGAGAGCTGGTGACTGAGAGGTGTCTCCCTTTTGACTGGACTGCTGACTCCAAGAATTGTCTCTCTTCTAACTAAAGAATCGCCACAAAAGTCAATCTTGCTGAGAAAACCCAAGTGTCCTGGTTTTCCTGCACCAGATGGGAACATCTGTAGTCATTATAGAATTCCTGAGTACTCATTTGCAACCAATCTCTCTTCTCTTTCTTCAAACTCTTCTCTGACTAAAATGAATTGTTTTTGTGAACACACAATAAAAACAAAAACAAAAACTAAAACACTGTATGTCACTGTATAATATCCCTGCTAAATACTGTATGGATTATACACAAAACATTGGAGAAACAACCAATGTCAAAATCATTGTAGGTATGGTAAGGGAATAACTTAGGTTGATGGACATTTTGAACCCCATATTACAGACATATCCGTGAGTTACTGAACATTACACTTGAAGATCATAAATTAACCCCTATCCATTTACAGGTGGAACATAAACATGTACAATTGGACAGATTTACCTTCAAAACCCTGTGCATCCAAAGCGTCTGGTACACAACAAAAAATTATGTATACATAGTCCCTGGATAGATCAATTTGTCCTCATGACATTAATAAATGTTTAGTTCCTACGAAGACAAAAACGTTTGCAACTTGATAACTGTCAATGATAACTGCAACAATACAGCTATAAAATTCAAAGAACAGCCTGAAAGACATTTGATGTTGTTCCTTTCACAATTAGATGAACTAAAAAAAAAATGCAAAAACTAGAATTATCATCCTTGTTCATTAGAAACTGTTTAAAATATTTATAAAAATCAAAAAAAGAAAGAAGAAAAAACCCAAGATACCACACATTCAGAATTTAAGGAAACAACAAAACAACTGATTTCATGGCATCCCCTCTACAATTCCAACAGATATTTAAAAAAGTAAAGGTATATTACAGACAAATCATATTGAGAGTCTTTCAAACATCAAAATCCCCCCAAATTTAAAATTACTTCTAAAGGGAAATAATTTTCAAAGGGACATAACTCTGACAGTAAGTTTGTTCACCTAACTATATTTTATAAATGACGCAACTTAAGTATCCATAATTTTCTTTGCGTTTGTGATTTGGCTTCATCTCAAAATCCAGAGAGAACTGTAGACTAAAATAGACTTCATCTAAAAGTAGGTATACTTTCATCTGGCCAAGGTTAATGCAGTTATGCACAAATATGCCAATAAAACAAAAAGTTAATTTACATAATTAATGTCTGGAAAAAGATGAATCCTTGGAGTAGAAGTTAACACAATTGATTTTCTATTCTGAGGACTCTATCCTCTTTGAGATATCATGCACCTGCTAATTCTGTGTTTGCTTACTATTATTTGTATTTAATACTCTTGATGACATTATGTACCTCCACAGAGACTATAGCCTATATGCAAAATAAATTAATACAAAGACTTACTTAAACATTTGGAATGTTACTTTGTCAGGTTTATCTTCATAACTTTTACTAGCAATTAATGATGGCATCTAAACTGTCATATTGCTATTTTCATCAATTCCAATTCATGAAATAATTTCATACGTTTCTTGGCAAAACTGAATATCCTTTGGTAGAGAGTACATGTACACATACATCTGCATGAGATGCCAGTTATCATGGTCACATGACCCAGTTGTCATGTGACACATCATACACACTGTCACATGACCTAGCTACTAACAGTGTTGTCATGTGACATGTCATACACACTGTCAAATGACCCAGCTATAAACATTGTAGTCATGTGACACATGTCATACACCTGTCACATAACTAGCTATAAACACAATACTGTTGTCATATGACACATGTCATACATACTGTCACATGGCCAAGCTATAAACACTCTCATCATGTGACACACATATACAGTCACATGACACAACACCCTGCCAAGATGAGACCAATCAAATCCATTTCAGTGACATACACAGTAACACTCCACAAGCTGTACACACTACAATGTGTATTCGGAATACAGTAAGTACATGCGAAATTACATAAGATCAAGATCTAAGTACCGGTAAGAAACAATGAAACAGAAAAAAATGGAAAAAATATAAATGCCTGTCCATTTCACCAGAGAAGGTTTATTGACATTTTCAGTCCTACATTCTGTGCCTTCTGTCACAACTAACAATGTTCATAATTCTAAATAACCATGCAGACTTATTTAGTCTTTGTTACAATAATCTGCCAATACTTTTCAACAGTCACAAGTGATCTAAACATCATGGTCTGTTTCTTGCAAATAAATGTTTCTACATGTTTTCCTTTTGCCAAGTCAAATGAGTGAATGTTGTTTTACGTCACAGTCACCAATGTTCACAAATGTTAAAATGGTTTGGTAAAAATATTCATGTACAAATATCAGTCACTGCTCAACTTAAACACAAATCTGAATATTGAAATATAATCAGTCTGTAAATACTTCAGGATCGTAGCTACCATGGCAAATGTGAAAACACAGTTTCCTGATTCACAACAGACATCAAAACAAGGTGTAACACTCAACATTTGTCCTTGACCCATGACCTCTCTGTGCAGACGGCTACTTCCATCACGTGCAGATGTGCAGTTTGATTGGTGGATGATTGGCGGTGACAGTGTTTGGGTGAGCATTTCAATTATTGCATTATCTCAGGAATTATGCATGATCAAAGTGTATGGGATTCTTAGAAGTAGTGTTCTACATCCTGCGTGTAGTCAAGACACCTGCTTGAGCATGGAGAGCAGGGCACATCGGAGCCCCTCCGCCAACTCGGATGCAGTGTATGGTGTGTTGAGGGGAGGCACATGGACAAAGGCAGCTCGGCAACGATCAATGTGTAGAGATGTGAAAAAAGAGAAGTCGCATAGATATCTGAAAAAATAATTCAATTTTAAGAAGATCCTTCAACCATATCAAATTATTGCCTTTTCCAAATGAAAAAGACCATAAAAAATTATCAACAAATTACCATAAAAACAGAATCATTTGAGTCGCTTAACATCTAAATTGACACAGTTCTTTTTAATGCTAGTTATTCATGGTAATTTATTTTGGAAATCAAAACAACAACAAAAAACCAAGCCAAAAAATGTGAGCAAGGCTAACCCATACCCCCGACCATGTTTCCTAACTTCAGCTGAACAACAATTAATAAGGATCATTCTTGATACAAATACAAAATTTGTATCAAACTCTGCACACTTTTCCTGTAAACAAAGAAGCTCTTACCCAAATCTGAAATCTGAATCAGGATGGACAGAATTCCTTGGTATAGCTATAGACCACGACCAACTTAGATTGGGGGTATAATGATTTATCAAATTAGATTGGGGTATAATGATAGTAGATGAAGACAATGAGTACTGTGAACCTCAGTGCTAATGCATGGACAAGACCCCACAACTTGAATGACTGAGGAGCTGTACAGTGTATCCAAACATGTTCACTACTTGAAACAGGTTTTTCTGATATGTTCCATTCTAAGATATACATAACACATTAAAGGAAATAAGGAAACAGTATCCTTACCTTCCAGCATCATGTGATACAACGGCCTTGACCTTGATCCCTGCATTGTTGACCTCCTGACATACATACTGCATGTCAATCTCGGACACGATGCAGTTGTCAGCACCATCCACACAGCAGCGTGTTGAAGGACAGGTGCCGTTGATGTCCTGCTTGTCATAGCCATCGTTGTGGGCCTGTTGCTCCAACGTCAACTCCGTGGCGATGCCGGACATGCCGACATACCACCTCAAAGTTACCACCAGCTTTCAGGCATACACACCTCATAGTTAGAGTTACACCAGTGTATGAAATAAGCCAATAACCCAGCCAGACATCAGGGCTGGTAACTTCAAAATGTTACCAGATCAGATCTCAAGATATGGTGAACTTACTCAAATGTATCTAAAAATGTTATCAGACCATGGGGCTCACAAGCTGTAAATTTAGACCGTCTGTCAGAAATCTAGCCAGTCTCTGGCGGTCGGATGGGCCTTATTTCATACACTGTTATTATGGCTCCCTGAACCTGCATGTCAACCCCAAATGAATTTAATATTGACAATAGTTTGAAGTGAAGAATGTGTTCCCTAACGGATATGATGATCAATTTTTGAAAATATTCAAAAATGGATATGAAACAGAGTAGGACATACTCGGAAATTACTAAGATTTCCTAACTGACAGGGACATCAGTTTCCCTTTATATTTGTACAATTATCATGAATGAATGGAACCATATCACAACTGGTAGAGAAGAATGAAGTAGATCTTATGACCGCCTGTGATCTTGTTTGATGAGAGCTGTAAGAAGGGGATATTTTGGACCAGAAACACATAATACCACACACTTTTCAAACTTGATCTTGCATACTGCTCATAAACTTCCTGAGTTGAGGGAGTCAGTTCCACTCCTCATGCAGAGCCTGGCCAAGTTCAGTTAATGAAGCCTGTGGTGTATGTCATAAGTCTGTCTCCCTATCGTGTCAAAGACATGATCAGTAAGGAAACGTTTCAGACATTTCAGGGATATATTATGTGGAGATGAGCACTGAGAATTTATGCACAGTGAGCAGGGGTTTTGTCATCCTGAAATGACAAACATTGACACACACGCCTTACAAACAGGACAACAAAGGGTGTGAGTGTGTCGTCCCGATAGTACTGTTTAGTCGCACTTCCCTGCACAATATGGATTGGGTTTGCAATCACACAAAATAACCAATAGCCTGCCAAATCTGCCATGAGGTCTCAGGTTGTCATTGGCTTCACATTCATGTCAACGTCCCCTGACATGACCACGCATATCAATCAAGCACAAAGTGAAGTGGGACTCATCTGAAGGCCACATCACGCATCACATATGATGATTACCCCAGTTTTAACAATGTGTATGAAGTCGCCATCTTTTAGCAATACAAAGATCCATAAAGGCATCCATACTGTTAAAACATATTGCACAGCAACTATCTCTAATACCAACTAGCACAACCAAAACAATATCCATTCTTTCACTGGAAGGTACATCTAACACAACCAGGACAATGGGCATAATTTCACTGGAAGGTAGATAATAGCCATTATTTTACTGAAAGATAGATATTATCTATCATTTTACTGGAAGGTACACCAGACATAACCAGAACAATATCCATCATTTCACAATAAGTTACACTGATATTGTCTTACCGCTGGCTTGTGCTTTTGCCACATTGTGGGGATACTGTTAGTGACGGTGTCATACTCCACAGCCAGCTGCTGCGTGACGAGGTCCACGTCATCGCCCAGTCCCAACTTCTCCAACTCCTGCACCGCCACCCAGCTGGCATTCACCTTGTGGCAGCCAAACGGCCCGAACCCTGGGGAATCACACACACACACACTCAGTCTCTTTAATTACAAGATATGAAGGTTTTCCAAACACTGGACCCATGCTACACACAATTGTAGGATGTGCTTTTGATAACAGAGGTCACCAGCCAGGCAATTTCTATGTACCAAGGTCATCAAACTCTTCATACTTTATATATGCTTTCATGCTCAACTCCATAAATGAAGTTGATGAAGATTCTGACCATATTTTCATATTCAACTTTAGCATGATACGTTAGATCAAAAGTATGTTTTGAAACATGCTCAGTGCTGAGTCCGATGTCAACAATGGTCGCTCACACGCAACATGGTTGGCTGGCTTGGTAAACAACCTGTGTTGAACAAGTGTTTTAGGTTGCTCAAAAACACCTGAAGATTCACTGAAGCAGAATTGTAAGTTACTTGGTAAACACAGCTCGTAAATGTCCGCTGCCATTGGTACAGTTGCTCACATAACCTCTCCTTGAGCATACAAGTACAAATCTCAGTTGAAGGAATTTTGGGAGGAAGCGTAGTTGAAATGTTTTCTCCTCATTCCCCATACTACTCACATACTATTTATTACAATCCCCCCACCCCTGATCCCTTCCTGCAAATTAAGATAAAATAATATCCCATGGAATCTGAATCATGTTGATTTGTTCGTTAGATACTGTTATTCCAATGTCAAGATGAAGGAGGCAAACCTGTAACTAGGACAGTTCTCTTGGTGGATGGCATCTTGATGACAGCTCGACTCTGCAACACAGAAACACGGATACAAGGAAATGTTCAATCACCACCCTTCCTGTACTACTGGGATGAAAACAATGAACATGATGAAATCCTCCACATTTACATAACTCCATGTATGCTGCACTTATACATAACCATGACAAAGTATATTCCAAATAATCATGTCAATAACTAGTGATATCATGTACACTGTTAAAACCGCAGCTTCTTTTCTTCGACAACATATCCAAATTCATGATGTTTGACTTTTATTATGTTTATAATGAAATATTTTGGCTGCAATTTTTGTGAATATTTCAGAACCATGGAAAATCAGTTTGGCGGATCCACAATCATGTGGCATAAAACTGGGTTATACATGTAGCCCCCCTGGTATCACACTTGCTTAAGAGGTTACAATCTGATTGGAAAGCAGGATGTCCCTGCTTATCATTCTAACGTGTTAACATCACCATTCTATTTCTCCCTACATTCAGTTACTGAAAACCTGTGCATAAAGATCAAGTTTCAGTTGGAATCATAGCGCCTGTTGTTACTGTCACGGTAATTACTCAACTTAAGATTATAGACATGATCGGTTACTCAGGTACTTAGGTCACGTGGATCTTGAGTAAGACACAGGTACCAACAACATTACCTGGACCTGTGGCAAGTCACTTGATATATTGTTTAATGACAAATATAAAATGTTAAAGTGACATGACACTGATGTTCACGTCCTTCTGACAATGCTGACTTGGTTCACATTCCTCCTGACTGTTAAATGTTTCAGTAAAGAAAACACCTCTGTACAGTTAAGTGAATAGATGATCAGATTGTCTCATACATGTTTCCACAAACTTCTTGCATGGGCTGTGGCAAGATATTCCTCATCTGACAATTCTTGAAACCTACAGTGGGTACATGAACACATATGTGCTGTGCTTCTTTAAAATGTCTAATGTATATCCTTTGTAATGATAGAAAGCTTGTCATTCTTTGATCCTCTGATACACGTTGCTTCACGCTGACCACAAATAAAACCTGTTGAAATTATTGTCCATAACAAGCAAATTTGTATTGCGCGAATAAACAACTATTTCTTATTTCAACTCTTTCAAAGTTGGAGTTTCCCTTTACTGTTAAAAACAAACAAACTTAGAATCCTGATAACTTGACAGTGCTTTTATTATATACCCATGTAAACTTAGGATAGAAATACAGATTAGATTCTGTATTGAACCCCTGCCAGTTCTACTTTCTCCAAAGCTCCAAATAACTGATGACGTCAATATGTTTGAAAAATTGAAAATGACATTGAATTTTATTAAATGTTTATTTCTTGACAGATCGATTTAAAAGTGGAATAGCGTGTTCGTTCTTTCATACAAGTTTGTATGCATTAAAATATGAATTTCATGGTAAGACTTCCAACCGTATCCCCCTAGATTCTAACGATAAGGCAAAATTTATTTGATAGGAATTTTTTAGAAGTTGAATATGTCTTTCAGTATGTTCAGATACAATTAAAGAAACATGTTAAAACTCATCCTTATCAGATGAGGAATATATATTCAGGTGATATGATTTGACTAACCTGCTGTCTTGGCAACACAATTTATTTTCACGAAATTGTCTTCTTGGAACAGCATTTTTCACGATAAACATCCTAGTCTTGTGTGTCATTTCTAATTTCATCTTTTCTCGTGTTTTTGAAAATGAGATATATAACACAAATTAGTTACGAGTGATTACAGAACCAGTAATGAAAGATCATGTGACAAAAGACGGCAGATCAGCTGTAGCCTGTAGTTGGCTCGGTCGAGAGATTTATACTAATACGAAGATTTTACGACACGTTTAGTTAAATTAGCCAGTGCTATTTAAATCCATCAGTATATGTAAGAACCAGTGGGATGTGTGTTGCCTTCTCGAACGTTAATTACCTGTTATTTATGAGCGTAATTCCTCCTAAATGAAATATTCGTTTGTTTTGTCACTTCCAAGTCATTACAGGTAAACCGGAAGTAACAAGCATTACATCCCCTGGATGGTAACATTGGAGTTACCTACCTTTGAGGTTGGCTTGCAGGTACTGACTTTTATTTCTTCAATATTTCTGTGTTACTGTAGTTTGTCGAATGCATTTAGGCACATGCACTCGGATATGAATATGGGAAATTGGTAAATGCGAGATAAGGTCTTCATATCGAGGCAGGATGATATCGCATACAGACTCCATAACACTGACTCACGCCATCTGTCTCGGACTGTCACTGTCAGACTTCATTTTTCAGCTGTCAAAAGTCAAGACCTGTTGTGCATGAAGCTTTCAATCAATCAATCAATCAATCTTTATTTCATACTGAAAGGCCACATGCCTGTAATACAATAATTATTCATGTATGGTTAGTAGTACATTCTTTCTGAGAATAAAAGCTTTGTGTATAGATCTATATGTGGACAAACTTTCTAAATGATTAAAAGTAAATGTTACTGGAACTATTCATATATAAACTCATGAGTTTCAGGATGTACATAATAATAAATCTTCATATATCAATTTCTTAACAATAAGTATGCTGGGCAAGTACATAAAAAAGTGTAATTCATTTTTGACCTCATTTAAGTTGCACATTTGACAGATTTTATTTTATTTCTTAATTCCTTGGAATCTCTGTTATCACAATACCTTATGACTTAATTTGTGAAACATTGTTGCTAAAAACAATGCTCTTTGCCATCAGACTGCTGCTGGGTTATCGAGTGTGCCTAAGCTCCTCTCACTATTCTGTTATCTCTATACGCATTGTCATTGAGTAAGCCAAGCATTGTAGGGAGTTTGTGTACTGAACATAGATGGCGGAAGCCCATTTTATAGCAAGCCAGTTTATGAAAACACTTATTTTAAATATATTTTATCTTTCGCTTTCAACGTAATATTTAGGACTAAATGAATTATGAATGGGAACTTGTATACATATATATTCTTTTCATTGAGTAATTTGTACGTCATTGCACAGGAATGGAGTTTATTTATGATATTACATTTTTTTAAGCAGTAAGAATGCATTACACTTGACACCTCAGCCATTTTCGTGCCACTTCGGTCAATATATTCTATTTATTGGCATTATTTCGAAAGGTTAGGGGCTAGGGTTAGGGTAAGCAGTGGCAGGGGGTTTGAATCCCCCTCTTTTCAAAATGACTAAAAACCACATTGAAGTTAATGTTTTGCAATTGCAGAGCCAACGTGGGGTTCAACCCCCCTGAATCCCCCCCTTTGAAAATTTCTGGATCCACCTATGAGGGTAAGGGACCTAATCCAATAAAGTAGGTAGGTGTCCGGTCGAAATGTCAAAACGTCAAAAGTACACGATGAAGTGGTTTAATGTAGAAAATTTGGGCTAATGGAAATTGGCCTGAAACTTGCACTAAGCCCCTTTTACATGCTACATTTGTTCAGTAATTATTGGAAGGATAAGTCGCTCTCGTGCTGTCACCAGACATGAACATGTCTCCCTCATTCCTTAGTGCAATCTACATTATCTTTACAATGTTCTCTGCAACACTTTTCTTTCTCAAAATCACCAGATGAAGTTTTTAGAAGCATGTCATTCATGCATACCATGAATTTGACGTCTGATGCCTGACGTCAACAACCGTTTTCAGTTCGTGCCATATTGACTTATTCCACGCCACACGTTATCTTGCAGATTATGGAATGGGATGAGTGTGCCAAATGGCATCGGGGTCATTCAACAATTGTCTGTAGATAAAAATTACGAGACACCCAGTCTACCCGTAACCTTCAAAATTGTCCGTGACCTGTTCGGCGCTTTCCGTTCATTTCTGTATCTTCACAGGAATAACTAGATAAATTTGCACATTGTGTAACGGTGTGGGCGTAGCTCAGTCGGTTAGCTGTTGGGCTAACAATCCGAGGGTCTCAGGTTCATGTCCGTTGAATTCTCGCAAAACTGGTGGCTTGTCTTAGTGACATGTGACCTACGACAGAGACTGTCCTCCCGAGAAGTTGAGGTGTTGAATTCTAAAGGTGCACCTAAAGTTGCATGTCAAGATACCTTGTTACCTAATTGCAATGTATAATTATTCAGAACATGGGCATCAGGTGTCCAACTTCTCTGCACAATTAAATAAAATGTGAAAAGGAATTTAATGCTGATGAAGGGTTTAACTGTTATTTTCTTTTCAAATTCCAAAATGGATGATTGTTTTTTGCCTTGAATATGTGAATTTCAATCCTAGTATTATCAGTCGTCAATCCATTATATGTGTACGAAACATTTCTCACAGTGATTTCCATTCAACATGTCCATAACTTCTTTTCGACTTTCGTTTAGATTGTGTATGATGCGACATAACATCAAACTAATGCATGAGAGAAATCTACTGTATTTCCTCTAATACACGCCGGGACTCTAATAAGCATTGGGGTAAAGCAGCGGTATAAGAAATAAGTGCAAGGCCTCTAATAAGCGTTTGTGTCTCTAATAAGTGCCGGGTATGTTTGTTATAAATCTATTCTCCCTTGATCGAAAAATAAATGTATTAAGGAATGGCCCATTTAGACATAACTTCCTGTCCTCCACATGAAAGGGTTGGTGGATATTATGTAATCGTGGAAGCTGCCATCAGGGGGTTTCATGTATATTATTGTGTATGGGATCCAGTGCCAGGTAATAAGCGGTGGGTCTCCAATAACTGCCGTGCCTCTAAAAAGCGCTGGGTCTGGAAGTCTGTTGAAAAAAATAAGCACCCGAGTGCTTATTAGAGGAAATACGGTATATATGGTAAATCTCTGACAAGCCAAGTGGAAATAGTGATGTTGCTTCCTGTTTGAAGCTATGGCAGAGAATGAGTCTATGGTATTTATCATAGTTCAATGGAGATACAATGTACAATTTGCATACTCAAGGAATGTGTTAAAATACTGATTTGAACTCTGTCTTTTTTATCCCCCGCAACATGTTTTGTGGGGGTATTAAAATGGACTCCGCGGCATGCGCAGCGTGCGTCGCGTGCGTCCGTCCGTCCGTGCGTCCGTCCGTCCGTCCTTCCATACACATTTGTCTTTTCCGGAGCAGAACTCTAAAACCGTTTATTATTTCTTCACCAAACTTGGCACATAGATAGATTTGGTGGAGTACTGGTGCCTTTTGGTAGTTTTGGAATTCTGAATAAAATATTTTTGGCATTTCCATGGCAACAAGTTCAACTTAGAATGAAATTAGTGGTAGTGCTCTTTTCTGGACCAGAACTCTAAAACCATTCACTATTTCTTCACCAAACTTGGCACATAGATAGATCTGGCGGTGTACTGGTGCCTTTTGGTAGTTTTGGAATTCTAAATAAAATATTTTTGGCGTTTCTGTGGCAACAAGTTTTGACTTGCCTGAAATTGGTGGTAGTACACTTTTCCGGAGCTGAACTCTAAAACTGTTCACTATTCCTTTACCAAACTTGGCACATAGATTGGTCTGGTGGTGTACTGGTGCCTTTTGGTAGTTTTGAAATTCTGAATAAAATATTTTTGGCATTTCCATGGCAACAAGTTCGACTTACACTGAAATTAGTGGTAATGCTCATTTCCGGAGCAGAACTCTAAAACCGTATACTATTTCTTCACCAAACTTGGCACATAGATTGGTCTGGTGGTGTACTGGTGCCTTTTGGTAGTTTTGGAGTTCTGAATAAAATATTTTTGGCGTTTCTGTGGCAACAAGTTTGACTAATACAGAAATTAGTGGTAGTGCACTTTTCCGGAGCAAAACTCTAAAACCGTTCAATGTTTCTTTACCAAACTTGGCACATAGATTGGTCTGGTGGTGTACTGGTGCCTTTTGGTAGTTTTGGATTTCTGAATAAAATATTTTTGGCATTTCCATGGCAACAAGTTTGACATAGACTGAATTTGGTGATAGTGCTCCTTTCTGGAGCAGAACTTTAAAAACCTTTCAATACTCTCCTTCCACTTTTCTATATACACACCTAAATATTTGACATAATCATAACTCGTAGACATAATCATGAAGAGTATTTTGCCATTGCGGGGGATATTGATGACTTTGTCTTCTTGTTATTAGAAAGAATGTATTCTGGAGGATTTGCCACAACCAGATTTGGCAACTGAGATTATGACAATTACTTCCCTTGGTGTCACAAAAGTAGGCAACTTGCCATCAACATTTATTTGGTTAGAATGTTACAAAAGTCTGCTTTCTGTTGAGTTTTTAAATCTTTATAAATTAGCACATTACTACCATGGGTGAGAATTTCCATGGAATCTGCAGAGTTCATCTTGTCAGTTATCACTTTCGTTATGCATGACATTACAATAAATGCATAAATATCAGATGTTAAGTGGGGCGGTGGGGTAGCCTAGTGGTTAAGGCGTTTGCTTGTCACAGGTTCGATTGCCCACATGGGCGCAATGTGTAAAGCCCATTTCTGGTGTCCACCACCGTGATATTGCTGGAATATTGCTGAAAGCAGCGTAAACCTAAACTCACTCACTCACTCACTCACTCACTCACTCACTCACGCCTATGTAAAGTTACAAAGCCTCGAGTCTAAGTGGAAACACATTCTCATCCTTGTACAGATATCCTTACCTTGCTCACCATCTTCAGATGAAATTTGTAGTCCGTCGCTGGGAATGCCTAGCAAAACAAATTGAATTAAAATAGGTCCAACCAAGCATTTTGTTTGTGCAGTCCTTGTACCATACACGAATGTATTGATAGGACTCAGTGGTACATGTGTGGTGTTGTTCTGTCAGGGAAAGGTTATGACTCAGTGGTGGACATGTGGTATTGTTCTGTCAGGGAAAGATGGGGCTGACTGGTGGACATGTGATGTTCTGTCAGGGGAAGATGGGGCTCACTGGTGGACATGTGGTGTTGTTCTGTCAGGGAAAGATGGGGCTCACTGGTGGACATGTGGTGTTGTTCTGTCAGTGAAAGATGGGGCTCACTGTTGTTCTGTCAGGGAAAGGTTATGACTCAGTGGTGAACATG